ATGAACCTAAGAGAAGACAGGTAGTTTGTTCACTGTTTTATTAGTTTTATTTACTGGAACTGAGTAAGGTTTTTTATATATAATTTAATTATATATAATCATATATTATTCAGTGTTATAAGTATGGTGAATTAATTATATTTAACCATACTTAGTTGGATTTAATTGATACTTAAATTGCTAAAATTATATCGGTTTATCACTGTTTTTGGAGGATTTGAACGCTATGGATTATTTTGACAATTTAAATAATTGGAGCGTGATTTTTAGGTTTTGGAGGGAATACCTAATGCCATTATATTTGTATTGAACCATACAAATGCATGTTTCGGAGAACTGTTGATAAATTAGTTAAATATTATTTTTATCAATAATGTGGATTGGAGGACTGTATGCACCGGTATGGGACGGTAGTATACTAGGGATGGATTAGTTCAGATATTAAGTCCTACCTAAAATGGATTAAGGTGTGGAATAACCATAGAGGTTAAGTCCAACCCTTATTAGTGTTAGGTCAGTAGATAACTGAATGACATAACTTGGTTTTCTGGGATGGATCGTAATACATATACCAAGCCACTACAACAGTTGGATGATATCTTGTATTAGGATTGACACAGACTTTATATACTTATTGTATGGTACCATGGTATGAGTTTAAGTCTCAGGACCATGGTTAAGGTGTGTATATCGCCTAGGATGGATAGTTGGACAGAGGTGTTGTTTCCTGGTAGGTCTAGGTACACATGATCACGTAATGTGTGATTTGCATGGTATCTCTACTGAGACTGAGACAGACCTATTAGACTAGTGAGCGTTCTATAGTGTGTAATATATACATATATGGACTACTCTAGATATTGTTGAGTCTATCTAGGATGTATCTGCGTATCGGATTCTTGTTTGGATCGTAGTAGATCAGGACTTGCATGTGGGCTTGACCTACTCTTTTATTTTTCAAGTGCTCGTCAGTTCTAGGGTTAGAGCTTGGTCGTGCAGAGCAAATACAGACTTCTATTCCGCCGACTACGTAGGACTGCTTACTTTTTAGCTTTGGATCGTATTTCAGTTATTTCATTTGCAGTTGGGATTTGTATTAGGGGTCCACTAGATGGATTCCCGAGTTTTAAATTAATTGGAGATTTTGGAGTTTGGATTTTAATAATTATATTTTGAGGATTTTTCATTAGAATTCATTTTCTGCCATTATTATTTATTTCTTATTCTTTAAATTTTATATTCTGTGTTCATTAAAATATTAATTGTTTGATATTTCCTTCGGGTTTTGGGCCTGGGCCTGATCAACCCGTGTCTTGGATCCAAGGGGTATCACATCAGCTCATTTGCAAACCTACTCTTTGATCATTTAGATTTTTAGGCTTTACTGTTTGGGGTCGTTGTTGGAATAAAAAAAGCGCATTACGGTCAACAAAAAACACGCTAGGGGTTTGGTGACACATTATAATAACTACTTTTCATAATTAAATTGTTTTTTTTATTTATAGTAATATATATTTTTAAATATTTCTATTGTTAATTTTACAATAATATCCTTTAATATGATGTTACCATATTTGATAATAATAGCTTAGTTAAGGAAGGAGTGTAATTGTCTTTATAAAAAATAAAAAGGATAAAATTGTCTAATGAAAAAGAGTTATTTAAAATATTCAACCTCTACTCAGAACGCAGTTTTAAAAGCTCCAAATTCTAGCTTCATTCAAAAGCTTTATCGAGCTAAATTTAGTAACTATTTGGGTAAAATACAGTACCACCCCCTGAGGTTTGCCAAAAAGACATTCAGAGAAAAGTTTGCCTATTTTGGGACAATGATACCCCATGAAGTTTGATACATCTACCAAAGACACTCCAATGGTAATAAATTGACATTTTTACCCTTTGACTTTTATATTGACTAATTTAAATGTTGAAATGACCTTTCTAACCTCAAACGTCCCATAACAATTTCTTTCCTTCTCTCCTCTCTATTTTCTCTTCCTTGGCCCCCAACACCAACACACACTGTCACACATACTGTCACACACACACACACAAACATAAAAAATAAAAGTGGAGTATTTAAATATTGTTAGGGCATACTCATAACATATGTTCTAATGCATCCAACAACCAAAATCCATATTTTGTAGATATAATTTTCCTAATCTCTCAGAATTTGACAAACACAGTAGATAGGAGGGATTGGACATAAACATTGGAAAATTTAAAACCAAAGCCAGAAAAATTACATCTATAAAAACAATGAAAATTTCAAAACAACTTGCATCATTAAATCAACCCACCAAGTTATTTGGAGAATTGAATAACCATAAAATGGCCAAAAGTTAAAATTTGGTTCTGCTCACGGGACACATCAAAATTATTAAATTTATTAACCGAAAAAAAATCAAGTAATTGATGTACTGTATTATTTATTAAATAAGTATGAATGCATCATTTGACCATAATGGTCAAATGATGCATTCAAGACTATATTGACCATTATAAACAAATGATGCATTCATACTTATTTAATAAATAATATAGTACATCAATTACTTGGTATTTTTTTTGGTTAAAATTATATCTACAAAATATAAATTTTGGTTGTTGGATGCATTAGTACATTTGTTATGATTGTACCCTTGTAATATTTAAATATTCCACTTTCATTTTTTATGTGTGTGTGTGTATGTGTGACATTATGTGTGTGTATGTGTGACATTATGTGTGTTGGTGTTGGGGGCTGAGGAAGAGAAAATAGAGAGGAGCGAAGGAAAGAAATTGTTATGGGTATGAGGTTAAAAATGTCATTTCAGCATTTAAATTAGTCAATATAAAAGTCAAAGAGTGAAAATGTCAATTTATTACCATTATGGTGTCTTTGGTAGATGTATCAAACTTCAGGGGGTATCATTGTCCCAAAATAGACAAAATTTTCCCTGAGTGTCCTTTTGACAAACCTCAGGAGGTGTTAGTGTTAAAAGCACTTTTAATGGTTACCAAACGCATTTAAACACAATTTTTCAAAATAAAAGACATTTTAAGCAGTAGAGAAGCAAAATCCCAAACAGGCTCTAAGTTCGGATGATGAATTTTTGTCAAAATAGGGTAGCGAGGGAGAAATATGGTGTCCAAAAAAAAAAAAAAAAAAAGTAAAATGACTTGTAAAATTAAAACATCCCGATTTTGTCAAAATATTTATATTGGTATTGTCTTCTCTTGTCTATTTAATTCTGAACAAAATAAAAGGTGTTATTTGATAAAATAGAAAATCAACTATTAAAAATTTTAAGATCTGCAAGTTGTAAGTAGTAATTGTAAATTGAGATTTTTTTGATATTCTTCTTCTTCTTATTATTATTTTTCTTTTTGAGATTTTAATGTTAAGTGAAATTACTGTCATTTTAAATTGTATCTCATTTTAAGTGACACTTAATTTTTATTTTTTTTATAGGAATATTCATAATGCATTATCAAACTCATTTAATCATATAAGTAATAAATAAATTTAGAATTAAGTAAATAAAATTATCAAACGACAACAAATGCTATTATCTATAACTTAACAGTGTATTTACACCTTCCCAAAGCAAATGCTGTTAGTATATACTTATCTATAGAGAGCGAGCGGCGGCGGCGCCCCGGGGGGGGGGGGGGGGGGGGGGGGGGGGGTTGGTGGGGTAAAGACCTGTACCACATAGACTAATATTGCGTGTGTGTGTATTTTAGGGTAACATCTCTTTATTTTTGTCTGTACCCAATCAATTGTAAGTTGTGTTACATTTATCTTAGGTGAATTGTCTTTTCCCAAGTAGTGGAGAAAAGAAAATCAAATAAGAAGAACTGATTATCCATTATTTATTGCGGAGGGCAAGAAAGTGTTGTTAAAAAATCATATTCAATAACCAAGGCTGATAGCTCTGCCCAGTACATATAGTAAATAATGAGGGTTTACTTTCACTTAAAAAAATATATATATATATATATTCAGCATTTATAGAAAAGCCTATTATCTAATTATAATATTTAATAAATTTGCATATTATATAATAAGTGTAAATAAAATGAAATAAAATTTTAATTAAAAGAAAATTAATCACTACTCCCTCCATCTAAAAAATAAGTGTCATATTTTCTTTTTTTGACTGTCCCAAAATAAATGTCATACTTCAAAATCCAATACACTAATTTTTAAATATTCCTCATATACCCTTTGTCTTGAAATTATAAAAGTAATTAATAATAAATTTTAATTAAAAAAAAATTAATCACTACTCCCTCCATCCCAAAATAAGTATCCTATTGTTTTTTTTTTTTAGCTGTTCCAAAATAAGTGTTATATTTCAAAATCCAATACATTATTTTTTAAATATTCCTCATATACCCTTTGTCTTGAAATTATAAAAGTAATTAAAACTTCTTAAAAAAGATTTTATGGACCCCACAATTCAAATTTGAAAGTCCACTAGATTAAATGGTTGGGTGAAGACAAACAACTTTTGCATTGTACTCATAAATTGTTAAAAGGACATATTAGAAAATTCATCTCATGCTCTTATAAAAAAAAAAAAAAAACATAAAAAATAACACTCTTAAAAAGTTATATTCTAAAAAAAAAAAAATGACACTCTTTACGAGACAAAGGGAGCATATATTTAACTTTCAAAATTAAATTTTTTTTTTATATTTTATTTTATATTTACAAAAAATAAACTCACATAAATTTTTTTGAGTCCACACTCCAACTTAAAACTATTCCCTCCTTTTTAGAATGAAAATGAATTGGTTATGCCATAGGTCTCTCGGAATAAAGTATAGTTTTATGAAACTGCATTTAAAGTCTATCACGAGGACAAATGCCGTGTACTAACGCCTATATTGAAGTCAAATCGAATAATTTAAACAGTGGTTGGTTTCTTAGTTTTGGTGGTATATATATATATATATAATGCAATTCAAATAAGTAATCTGCCATCCTATTGACTTGCCAGACAAAAGACATCGGTGAGAGAGTTCAACACAAACACACACAGAGCGAGGGAGAGAAAAAGAAGAGAGAGAAATGGCTACTCTAACCGTTCCTCCTGTTCCTACTTCCCCACAGGATGATGCTATCCAACTTTACCGCGCTTTCAAGGGTATTTCTCTCGACTCTTCCTATCTTTAAGAAATTTTATGTTTCTATTTGTTGGGTTTATACCATTCTCTGATTCAGTTTCTTCTACTAAATGATTTTAATGGTTAGGCTTATTAATTTCTGTTTATCATTTCTTTGCGTTGCCTCTCTATCATCCATGTTTGGCAAAATTGCCGTTTTGTTAATTTTCTTCTGATCTGTGGTTCAATTTGATTAATAATTTTAAGAGTAAAGGGCAAAAAAAAAAAAAACTTAAACTATGTTTGAATTTGCAAATAACCCCATTGAAGTATATTTTGTGCATAATACCCTTTGAACTATTACATTTTGTTGCAAAATGCCCAATGCCTAGACTATATTATAATGCCCTTTATTATTGAATTACACTTAATTTTAATTTTTCTTATTGAAATAACTTATGAAAAAAAAAATCATATTAATTTGATAATACATTCTCTATTAAATTTACATAAATTTATCTTCAATTTTTGAAATTAATTATTTGATTAAAAAGCTTAAGTAGAAAATTTTGTAACAAGTTAATTAATTTCTCAACTTTTCCTGACTATATTGCATGAAAAAGATTGTATTTTTTTTTTTATTTTAGTTATATTTATTAATTTTTCATCAATATATTGTTTGAAAAAGAAAGTATTTTTCAACAATAAAAAGGTGTAACTGAGTATAATAAATTTTTTTTTAGATAAGAGAAAAGATAATAAAAATAATTTAATAATCAATGAGAAATGGTAAAATAGTCTTTTGGAATGAGTTTGTCTTTCATTGCAACAAATCTATAATTTAGGGGGTTATTTGCAAAATGGCAATAGTTGAAAGGAGGTTTTTGTAATTTACCCTAATTTTAAATAGATTGTAATAACTTCACTTTTTTCTTTTGCCCCTTTCCCCCTTTGCAATGATCTTAGCTACCAGGATTTTTCAGGAATGTCATGGTTTATGTCATAATTGTTTCCCATACTCGATTCATCTCCATTAATTATGTATATGTACCTATTGTGAAGCTTTACATATGTTTATGCATAATGGGGCGTGTTCAAGTTACACATGTAAGAAGAACTACTCTTGCATACTTCTTTTTTTTTTTTTTGTTGTTCAAGTCCAATCGTTAGATTACGTACCTAGTGAGTTGGGCATATGATGTCATTTTTATATCCTCCCAATGAAAATGCACCACATATATATATATATATATATATATATATATATATGTTTTACACAGGGATTTGAACCCTCAACTTTTTACTTAGGACGGTAAAAAAGTTTACCACTACGTTACAACCCATGATGAAAGATTAGTATTTGAAAATTGATCTTGAGCAATGTTATTGGGAGAAGGGTTTTGATAAGCTGTAAAATGTTTAGTCACGACTCTTTAATTCAGTGAGATGGACATCTTTTATTAAATTATTCAGATGATGAATATGAAATTATGTTGTCTCACCTTTTAACTCTATCTACTTTTTTTAACAATTATGAATGCCATGTCTGTTAAGAGTGCAATGATCTCCAAATACATAAACAATTGAAGACAAATTCTCTAATGCTTTATTGTAATCTTCGACATAGATACACACACACATAAACTTGTACTTGCGTTAGACATTTTGCATCTTGAGCCTCTTTTGGATATCCATTATTAAAGTTCTGAGCATATGTATTTTTCTTGGAATAGAATTTTTTGCATCGACTCTTTCATGTGTGTACAAGCTTGAATGAGAGCTTCTCATGTGAAGGATTTATAATTAAATCAGTCAGGATCCTAACTGTAAGTTCTTGTTCAAGTATTACAAGTGTGTGGAAAAATGAATAGTATTACTTTTGTTTGCAATGAGGTTAGGAGTGAATTAATTTAGTCCTATTTAGAAAATTTGTCATCGTGCCTTTGGAAGAGCATTTAAGATCATGGCAACAGGTTGGGCCATTTGTCTCAACTTTCCATGTATTACTTTTCTTTGTCTTCTTTCCTTTCTCTACATGCATTGGATTGAGCTTAAACAAATCAGTGGTATACTTGTTTAAGTTTTCTCTTTATCTATTTACTTATTTACTTTGTTCCTTTCCTCAACCTGAGGATTTATTTTCCTATACTAATAACATTACGGGCTGACCCCAAGTAGTTGGGGGAAAAGGCTTAGATTGTTGTTGTACCAATAACATTACGGATTGATTCTTATCCACCACCCCCACCCAAAAAAAAAAAGAATATATATATATATATATTTATGATGGGTTGGATATTAAACCCCTTGACATGCCACACGCGTGAATTGTTGACTAGTTCTATGTAAAAGATAGAGTTGTTTGTCTGGCTTGATCTCATTATAAAATTATTTTGTGATAGGATTTGTTGTTTGAGGGAAGTTACATCGTTGTTTCCCTTTAACCTCTCTTGGCAGATGCACTTAGTGATGTTGCTTAGTTGAAGTGGTATCAACTTACTAACGGGCTAGTGGTCTAGCGGTATTAGCCTCTTATTTCCCAAAGGGAGGTCATGGGTTCAAATCTCAGAGGAGACAAGTGTATGTGAGTACCAACTAAGAAAAAAAGAAAAGAAAAAAAGCGATATCAACTTCTCCTTCCAATGGAAGGTTGAGGTTTCGAGTCCCCAATGGGACAAATTTGGGTTTTTTCTGCACTATTTCGCCCTATATATAATAGAGTCTTGTTAGTGATGGGGTAAGAACCCTTGGCTTTGATATAAAGTTTGCCAAGGTCCGTCATCTAGACCTATAGAGGGAGTGTAAGTTCTTGATGGTAGCTTTAACAGATTTAATTACTCTTTGAATTTTAACTAAATAACCCAAAATTCAAATCTAAATTAACCGGCCAATCATTCAACCAGGGTAAAATAAACCATAATAAAGTGTGCACAATGGAGGACCTAGTCTAGCAGAACAAAATCCACTACACGAAAGACGTACTTAAACTAGGCTAACAACTCATATACCCCAAACTGCTAGTTATCTCTTGATACAGATTGATCTACCAAACTCTCCACTCAAGTCTCCAAGTACACAGCTCCACTCCATCAACATACATAGCTCCTTATGAATTTGCTTCTTCAATAGCAATTATGATCTCTAAACTAGTCGTCCATTCCAATCTTGGTTGATTGATTGTTTGGTTTTGAATAAGATTTTTTGGTGTTGAACTCTTCAGTAAGATTGACGAATGCTTAAAGAAAAATATGCACTGAAATATGCTCAAATACTATCTAGCTTATGCCTCTATGTCTATATATGGTTAATGAGATGAGAATTTCTGGACAAACCAAAGTTTGTAGAGAGAATGGGTTTTAGTGTTTTATTCTGAAAAAAAAAATTGAGGAACATGTCAGTCAACCACCATGAACCCAGCCAGCCTTCGATTGATAACTTGATACTAACTTATAAAACTCTATCTAAGCTAAAAAAAATATATACAGACTCTAGTTCTGATCAAGTCCTTTGACCTAACGGTTATATCATTTAATAACTTTTTCCTATTTATTTTTTATTTTATGTTTTAACTTCTGCAGGATTCGGCTGTGACACTGCAGCAGTGATCAATATTCTTGCCCATCGTGATTCAACACAGCGCTCACTCATCCAACAAGAATACAGAAAACTGTATTCTGATGACCTTCTTAAAAGGTTGTCTTCAGAGCTTAGTGGCAAACTAGAGGTATCAATATGACTTCTATTGCATGATTTAGGGGGAAAAACCCAATGTTTCTGCTCCAATACAAGTAATTATAGCGGTTACTTGTGCATTTTGTTCAGAACAAATTTATAAAGCCTGATTCTTTCCCCATCCCCGAAATCAGCATCTAATAAAATCTTTTCTACCTATAAGACTGCAGTTTTACACTGGATGCATGATCCAGCGGGACGCGATGCAATTATATTAAAGCAGGCATTAAGTGGGGACTTCTTGAATCTTGAAGCTGCCACTGACGTGATATGTTCTCGGACTCCGTCCCAGATACAGATTTTTAAGCAAGTCTACTATTCGATGTTTAGAGTTTACCTTGAACATGATATTGAAAGACAGGCCTCTGGGGATCATAAAAAGGTAACCTACCCTCTTCTGGATTAATAAAAAGGTATCACTAAACTTCATATTGGATTAATACAGCCTTGTTGCTAAACCTCTGCACATATATATAATAATTAGATAATTTATTTACTCATGTTTGCCTTTGTGGTTCACACTTTGGGTTTAAAAAAATTTACTGGCTCCTTTTCTTCTTCTTTTTTGTCTGTTTAAGAGAAGGTAAGACACATGGATGTGTATGGATTTCTAAGAAACTAATAGGCTATAAGCTAACCTGTTATTCGTTGAAACACACGTGTCATTTCTCCAACAGGGATATAGCTTGAACATGGTGAGTTCACAAAATATATACATGGGGACGCAGTTGTATGCATGTGCTTTTGAGTTTACATTATTGAATATGTGCGTGCGCGCGCGTGTTCATTTTGTTTGCACATGCATGTACAACCATAGAGTAATATGATGATATATACAATAGGCAAGTACCCGAGGCCTAACTGGTTTTGTATAGGTACTGCATAGAAACTAGTAAGCTATGTTCTACTTTTATCATTAAAATTTATTGGTAATTTCATTCACTTCTAAGCAGTCCCCATTTTCAATTGAAGACAATTATCTTGTGTTATAATCCTGCTAATTTGGAATTATTTGCACGAAATAGTCGCTCTTAAGGTTTGGCACATCGAGTTTCTTGCATTTCTCACAGTTGCCACTATCCTGTAACATAATTTTGTAATAAACCTGTAACTTATATAAAACACTGTTTAATTCTGTGTAGTTTTGGTTATAATGATGAAATCATTCTCAATATCTCACCATCTCCGCTTAATTTCTGAACTCCACCGTAATCTTTTGTCTATAAATTACTTACTAACCAAATGTCTTATGCCGTGTAAACCATGTGATGCACATATCATACCATTTAACTCTCCATTTTTTGGCCAAAAAACAATTTGCAATAGCACCATTGCCACCCCACCTCTGACAACAGCTAACATCCTCATCACAGCCACTCTGCAGCTGTTACTACCATTACCACTACAAGCACTAACCCCGTGCATGTCAATTTCAACTTCTCATTCCTACCATCACTGCCTCCACCATCAATTACTACTAATTATTTGTACTCTGTTTCAATTTTAGTGTCTTCTTCTTGTCAGCAATGGTTGTATATGAAAAAAAAGGTGAACTACAACACTGGTCACTATTTTGATTAATTTTTAGTGTCTCTTGTTTTAGAATTTGACCTTCTTTGTGTTCTTGGAAAAAAGATGAAGTTCAGTGATATCTTCAAGTGAAATACTTGTAGCTTTTGCTTGCATATGTGAGCACGTCACGTTATGAAGGCACTGAAGTTGATAAGGAGATGGCTGAAAAGGATGCAAAGGCTCTCTTTAAAGCAGGGGAGAAAAAAATTGGAACGGATGAGAAAACTTTTATCCGCATTTTTAGTGAACGGAGCCGAGCACATTTGGTTGCTATCAACTCTGCTTACCATAACATGTATGGGAACACGCTGAAAAAGGTGTATATCCTTGTCGTCCTTGCATCATTCATTGCATATGAAATTCTTTTTATGATGCTTAAACACGTTGAAATTATGATAGGCAGTGAAGAGCGAAACTTCAGGGAAATTCGAGCTTGCCCTTTTGACCATCCTAAAGTGTGCAGAGAATCCTGCAAAGCATTTTGCAAAGGTACTTTTCACACATTCTTAAAGTGTTTTTTTTCTTCCCGCATTTGGATACTATGAATGTATATTCAGAATTGATCTGGAAAACTGGCAGTACTTATGAGTATTTGGAGGGTAAAATAAAATGGCCTTGTATTTCTAGGGCGCCATTTGTTGCCATGAAAATGTTTTCTAGGTTGTGAAAGAAAAGCTTTAAACAGTGGTACCAGTTGAGACTGATGCATCTTAATTTATTGATTAGTAGTGGTCAGACAATTACCAATCTTGGGTTTATCAAATATCAATAAAGAGTGCAAATAATTATTCAGAAAACAATTTCCTGTGACATGTAGACCTACAATCAGCAGGTTTAGTGAGGTTACCATTAAGAACGTAATTTGCTTACAAAATAATGATCCAATATAAACAAAGGATTGAGTTTAAGCCAAAAGGAAATAGGTAAAAGAAAAAGCATTTTTGACTTTCGGGAAGAAGATAAATGATTTTTTTTCTTTTTATTATATCCTCCCCCAACTGAAAGCTCTAGTAATTGAAAATTAGGCTGGTTATTTAAGCTTTGGTCCTCTCGTATAGTTCTCTATTTCTAAGTAGCTTGAAGGATCAGCATTTGCCTTATCTATAGATAAATGTTTATTTTTCCCTTTCTTCTTCTCTACCGGTCTCAAACCTTGACCTAGAGCTTGGGAGTTAAGACCCAAAGTCAGTATGACATGGTAGACCAGAATTTGACTGATATTTTCATCAAACAGCAATGGTGCAACCATGCAACACTGTTTCTCAACTTTAAATTGGTTGAAACAATAAGCTTAATGTCTTACTTTAGCTAATGTGTCGAGATTATAATTGTGAACTTGAGGAGGATACATGCACTCTCTCTTCCAATATTTGGAGTTTGTTTTATAACCATAACTAAACGAAAAGTTGCATGCATCTTATCTCTTCCGAAACTTTGCAGGTACTACACAAGGCAATGAAAGGCTTGGGCACTGATGACACGACACTCATAAGGGTAATCGTAACGAGGACTGAGATTGATATGCAGTATATAAAAGCCGAGTACCACAAGAAATACAGGAAGCCATTGAATGATGCAGTTCACTCAGAAACATCGGGCCATTACAGGACATTCCTTCTCTCCCTTCTGGGTCCGAACCATTAAACGTCACATGATAGTTATGTGCTGCTTACAGAGGACAGCAATGTGCCACTCCATGGAGTTAACTTTCAATTTGAATACACAAGTTATTACAGACTCGTTGCTTTGTTATGCATTTGTGGGAACTTTGTGTAGTTGTCTACTGCTTATAAAGGACAACAAAATGCAACTCATTGGAGTTGTGACCTTTTAAATTCAAAACAAGAAGTTTTTTTAACAAACTCAATTCTGGTTTAGGATTTTAGTTCCTTCAAATGTTTCAATGCTCAAACTATGCTTTTTGCCGCGAAAAGAACTATATTGGCCACGAAATTTTCTTGTGCCGGAAAACCATACCTTTTGCCATAAAAATATTTTGTTGAACAAGAGCCATAGTTTTATCACAAATATTGTCGTGGCAACAAATTCTCAATTTTACTACAAATTATTTTTTAATTATTTTATATTATTTTTTTGTGATGTAAAAAACTTAACGTTAGTTGCAAACAAGTCTTTGTGGTAATAAGGTTTTTGTATTTTTGTTTTTTGTTCACCGAGTAGAAAGAGAAAATGCTCAATTTGTTTCGAAGTAAAATATTTTTCTCAGAAAAGATTTTCTCTTTTCAAGTAAAATGTTTTTTATTTTTTATTTTTTGGTGTTTGATAAAGGTTTAGGTCGAGATTGAGACCGATTTCATTAGGTGGGACATGTAAAATAACTTGTAAAAAATTAATGGGCAAATTATTTTTGTTAAATTTCAAATTTTTTTTTTGGAAATATTTTACGACAAAAAAAAAAAAAAAAAAAAAAAAATTACATCAAAACAAACAGAACTAATTAAGAATCAAATTTATTTGCATTCCACCAAATGAACTTCATGTTTCACATTTTTAAAGCAAACAAAAAATTATGTTTCAGAATCACGCCTTCACTAAGAAATGTCATAAAATCATCACTAAATGCAAGTATTGTATGTTGTCCATAATCTAGAGTTGAACTAAAATCATAAAATTCTCTACTGCTACAGTTCTCCTCCTACTTTGCTAAGTTTTAGCATTAAAAACTTCGTATTTTTATTTTCTTCCAGATGTAAATTAACCCAGCTTCTCTCTGCTTCCAGTATAATTCTCTTTCTCTAGACCCCCACAATTGATGAAGCTTGAATTCCAACAATTTGTAGTTACCAAATCAAAATTAGTTGTATTTTTGTTGATCCTAAAATCGGCTGGCTAAAGCCAATTCAGAAATTGTATAATGCGGGTGTGCCAGAACCAACAATGTGGTTCGAGTGTGTGTAGTCAACGGTAGTCTCTTTGAGAAATTGACTTTCAGGCGATTATAGGAGAAAGAGAACGTAAAACTCCTTCATGAGTTCAATGTGTCGTAATTAAAAGAACCTTAACAATGTGAATGAAATAGCAACAATTGTGAGAATAGAAAGGGGATAAGAAATAGATATAGATGGAGATAGAGAGAAAGAGATAGAGAGAAGGACAGCTAGAGAAAGAGATAGACAGAAGAGATGAAGAATAGCAAGATTGCTAAATGGGGAAAGTAGAGTTAGAGAGGGAGAGCTTGAGAAAGCAAAAATAATATTAATTTAAAGATTCTGAGGGTGCTGGACCTTTTACAACGAATACTTCTACAATTATTTATAAAAATCAGAAAGTCCTAAAATGGGTGAAAAATCACCTCCAGTGAAATAGTGCAATCATTTCTTCCATTTTTGTGAATGAACAATACTTACTGTGGTGGGTAAAAAATTGTATTTGCTTTATACAGAATTTTCGAATATATATATGTGTGTGTGTGTGCGCGTGCGCGCGCGCACGCGTGTGTGTATACACTGTTCAAATATACTTTTCTTTCCTACCTTATTTCTTCTTCCCTCCCTCCTTCATTTCAGCAACCCATTTGAAATAAATTGAAATCCTGCCACCCAGCTAGCCTTCTTCTCTCCCAAAATATCAATTAACCCAGTTTAGAATTTGATTTATTTCCAAATAGATTTTGATTGAAATCTCACCACCCAGCTAGCCTTCTTCTCTCCCAAAATATCAATTAACCCAGTTTAGAATTTGATTTATTTCCAAATAGATTTTGATTGAAATCCCACCACCCAGCTAGCCTTTTTCTCTCCCAAAATATCAATCAACCCAGTTTAGAATTTGATTTCTTTCCAAATAGAAGTAGGAAGTAGGCTTTATTCCCTCCCAAAATTTAGATTCTACAATTTGTTTCGAAATAGAATAAGCGATTCTATTTCCAAATTGAAGGTCATCTCAGACTTTTCAAAATCAAAGCAAGAGGTATGATTTCTTTGTTTCTATTTTTGCCATTCATTTCTTATGGAAATAAGAGGATTTTCTTAAAAATAAAATCTGAAAATTATAGGTGTATCCCAAATTATCCTCATTTGCTGCATCACAATATTTTCCTAACATATATCCCAACGTATTTGTAAAGTGGTGCATCACAACATTTTCATAAGGTATATCCCAACATTTTAGTACATCCCAACTTATTTGTAAAGTGCATTCTAACATTTTCCTACCACTTATTTGTAAGGTGCATTCCAACATTTTCCTAAGGTGAATCCCAACATTTTCCTAAGGTGCATCCCAACTTTTCCAACCTAGCCTTAAACCTTCTTCCATTCTTCTTCGTTTTCCCTTCCCTTCTTTTTCATATTCGTTTATTTGAAATTCAAACCCTAAGCCTCAGACCTTCCTTCTTCCCTTCTTCTTTGCCTCAGACCTCCTTCTTCCCTTCTTCTTCTTCGCGTCAGACCTTCCTTCTTCCCTTCTTCTTTGCCTCAGACCTTCGACCTTCACTTCTTCTTCTTCGCCTCAGAACGCCATTCTTCACTTCTTCTTCTTCGCTTCAGACCGCCGTTAGTACTATTTTCTTCCCTTTTAGAGAGAGAAAGTAAGACAGCCGTGCATAACGTATTTGAAAAAAATAATATTTAAAGTTTATATATATATATATATATGAAATACAGTATTTAAAGCTTTAAAAAGGGGTGGTAAAAAATTAGTTACCTAATTTTTTTAATTGATGTGGCACATTCTCAGCCACTTATTTCAAATGGAGGAAATTGTTGCACTATGCAACTGGAGGTGAACCTGGTCCTCCTAAAATGAAAAACTTCCTAAATATAAGCTACTGGATTACAATTGATTACCAAATTTATTCCATGTATACGCTTTCTTCTCCACAAATTCACCATTGTTAGTTTGAAAAATATGATGATATATCTCCTCCTTTATCTCCCGCAAGATAAGGATAATAACACTTTTACTTGATCCAAAACTCTTATCTCTCCACATAATAAATCCTTAATTATCTCCTTTAATAATTTCAATTATCCCTTCGTAACCCAAATCGCGTATGTAGCTGCTACATCATCATTCAAATACATAGCACAAATAAGCAATTAATATGTGTAGTAATTAAAAGAGATAAACAGTGTTAGGAATTTAGCAATTCTAATATTGTAAGTGGTAAATTTCATAAAACAAAACTTACTCTTATAAGTTAATGATTATATGCTTAGTGAGTGATATAGAAATAAAATAGGTATATGAATTGAATCTGAAGACAAGATTACTTGAAGAAAGTTACATTAAAAGGGCAAAAGGTCCAAGATCTTCTACAAATAGCAAATCAATCAAAGAACTTCTACAAAGGGCAATTCAGTGCAGAGTTCCTTTACAAAGGGTAAAATAGTTCAAGAACTTCTACAAAGGGCAGAATAGTTCGGAGTTCTATCTAAAATGGAAAAATATTTCAAGAACTATCATAAGGGCAAAATGATCTAGTGTTCTACTATGAGGGTCATATTAGTCCGATGATCAATTACAAAGGGTAATGATGTAATCTTCTCAAGTATGAGCTTCAAATGTAAGAATCATACTTGAACTTTATTTATCACCATTTAGGTTCATGCATACATATTATTCATGATCATATGCTATTAGGTGCATGGTATTCCTATGGTATTTTGTTTATTTAATTTAGATATACATTTTGAAAAAATGATTTTCATGATAAAAATATATATGATATTTATTTTAAGTTTCTAGATGATAGGGAAAAATAAACCTAACCTACCTTGACCTAATAATAGAGGCAACTAAGTGTTGACCAGCCACTAGACCTCCTCCGAGGTTCAAACGATGATATTTCCATTGGATAAGAATGATAATATTTCATTATCAAGGATAATGAAAGATGACGTGGTTCAACAGGGTAAGGATAACCTTGGCACAATTTGAGGAAGTCAAAAGGGTTAAATCATATTCCCGACAAATCTGGCAATAAACGGATCTCTCTGATCTTGCACAAGCGGATCTCCTCTGATCCCGCAAATGAACTGAAGGAGAGCAACTATAAGAATGAAATCCTACCAATCAATAAAGGTACGACAAGAAAACTATTATTAAATCCATGCCTTTTGTTTTAGACTTCCGGTGACTGACTTGATCATCGGAGAGCTCTTGGCAGGCACTACACCGATGCCGTCAAGATTCATCGATCTTCTACTCTCTTCTTTGTAGGAAAACGGTGTTGTATCAGACCACGTGGATTTCTCCCCCAACAGTTGGAGTCGTCTGTGGGAAATGATGATTCCCTTAAATCAATAAATTACTCGGTTGGGTATATGCACTTGCGGTCCGGTATGGTAACTGGAAAAGAAACATTGTTACAGGGATTCAGTCAAAGAGAAGGGTCGGGTGAAAACCCAGACGTCCCGAATGACCAGGAACGGCTTGCAGCGTTAAAAGTACAGGTCTAAACTCTGAATCAGGGTATGGACCAGTTGATCCAGCAAAATGCAGAGATCCTACAACACTTATCCCTGCGGGACCACCACCTCAACAAGAATTGTTCGACCCAAATCTTCCCAATCTGAATGATGGGGGACAACACGAGGAGGACCGAGAAAATGATCCTCCTTACAAGTTCGAGGCAGAATAAAGCCAAGTTGGAAACCGACACAGAGAACCTCCTTCCCCGCCTCCGCGGAATCTCCAGCTTCAAACAGGCACGATCTTCTGTGTTAAGGAAAAGATAGAGAAAGTTACCTATTTTGACCTACAGATCGAGGATCTCAAGGTAAAAATGGAAGA